GACCTAGGAAGTTCCAGAGATTATTTACAGTTTGATGGGGGATTCAGTCATTCTGAGACAAAACAGACTTTCATAAACAATGGAAATTTTTGTATATGGTCAGTGTGAGTCTACTTTGAAATAAATGACTGGAAAGAGTATTTGGATCTGAAAAAAATCAGGCACAGAAAATTTTAGTCAGACTTCAATAAGTCCACTGGGATTTGATCTGTTTATCTTCCACCTCAGTTTAATTCCTTCTCTGATGAACTAGATAAAGAAAGGGATACAAAAAAATTAAAAATTGTGTCAGACATTCAACAAGGGCACCATGGTCCAGGTCAACCCACTGAAGGGGGAGCAGGGCCACACCAGCGTCAACAGCGGCCTTCAGTCATTGACCTGCTGACAGGTGACCATGGTACAGGAAAGGATTCCATGGCTAAACCTGATACTACCACAACCAGTCAGCCAGCTCGTCAAGGTGAGTTGAAAATATAACTATTCTTAAAACATTTGAAGAATGATTATTTTTTATGTTTATATTGGGAAATGGATTTTATTCTGTAACAATACTATGCAATGTGCCTACCAACAGTTTATTTCCCTTTTGAGCGAAATAGTTTGTTCTCCTAGATTTAACATAAAGGGTGCTTGCTATTTTAAATTTTCTACCAGCAAGTGTTTCTTATAATGTAGAAATTTGAGGCAACGACATGAAATTGAGTTGAAGGATGTGATCATATTTAGGTCAGTCCGCGAGTTGTTTTATCATTTCACTTTTGGTATTAATTTGTAACTTTAATCGAGTAAAGGTTAAGAATATTTACTCATTTTGCTGTGGATTAATTAAGATCACTTCAATTAAAGCATGAGCCTGAGAGATAGTTAATTCTATATTATATATATTCAGCTGAATATCTCATTGTGTGGAATGTAACTTTTCTCTAAGCAGCTCCACTACATGCTACTTGTTTGTTGTAGTGATCACTGATTGAATATGGCAGTTATAGCAGAGTAATCTTTGAGGTTAGAATTTGTGTAACTGCACATTTAAGCCAGATTGCATTTTTTTGAATAAACATTGTCTCCACATCAAAGAATTTGTTACTTTCATTACGCTACTCCGTATTGTATGCACATCAGCATTATAAACTCGTGTTTCAAATTCAGTTTTTTCAACAAACCTTTAGGAAGAAGATGTCAACTCAGTTATGTTCTCTGATGGGCCTTGGATTCAGCACTGCATTGCCCACAGGGGTAGGCCTCAGAAAATGAGTCTGAGACTAATTGGGAATCATACATTTGTGGTGCAAGTAAAATATGTCAGTCAACTTCACTGAGTTTCAGTGCCACATCTCATTATTAGTTACATTATCATTATATTACTTTCTCTGTTCATAGTCATTGGGTTTTAAATATGTTGCAATAATTTATTAATTCAGAACATAACCTACAAAATATGTTTTGTTTTATATGGTTTTTCCCAAATAACTTCACACCCACTCATATATTAATATGGGCTTTCTTTTCTCTTTCTTCATCCTTGTCCCTCTTATTAAATCAGGTGGTAATCTGAGACTCATTATGACACCTAACTTTTAAACAGCTGAACTCAGTCAATTTTGTAATTGTGGACTCTCTGTAATTCAAGAAAAGAAAGATTTTATACTTCTAGCCAGGTATTGGTGTACTGTTGTCAGAGTTAGTCTTAACATTGTGTATATGCTTGCATATTTATGTAATAATTATGTGACGCTCCTAACCTCAATGGTTGATTTCACAACACTTGAAAAAATAATTTGTATGAGTAATCTTGTATTTCGCCACGGTGGTCTAGCAGTCAGAACACTAGCCTTGTAAGCCTGGGGTCCCGGGTTCAATTCCCGGTGGTGCTCAAATTTATAACTTGTGTTGGGCAAGGCCGTGGTCTAGGCATCACGGAATTTTCCTCCGGGGGCTTCCCCGGTTTCTCCGTGGCATCCCAACAATTACTCCACTCACACACAGAAGAAGGCAATGGCAAACCACTTCTGGATCATCTGCCAAGAACGTATATGAACAGGTCTTGTATTCTGGGTGACAACTACAAAACTTAAATCTAGTAGTTGGTACCTACGATTCTGAACCTAACATATGGAGAATGGCTACCACTAAGTTGGTGTTGGTTCGTTGTTCTCCCCAACTCAGTTCTTCCCGTAACGCAAGCCCGGAATCGCTGGAATGTTGCTGCTAAGCTAGCGTGTGTTATGGCTGCTGCAGAATCAGTGTCAAGTGTGAGTTTTGGGTCAAGTCATTCAGCAGCCACAGCAGCACGTGGCACTGGGGAAACCATAGGTGGTGGGGTTGGGTTTACCCAGACCTCCACCCCAGCAAACTCGCTGGTGGCCCCCAAACTGCCATTAACAGGTACCATTGACAGAAAAACAAAAATGGCAGAGCGATGTTTCGCTGTAGTTGGCATTCCATAGGAAGTAGTCTGTAACAGAAATTGGCATGGAAATTGGAATGGATATAGTCTAAACATCTATTTGAATGTAAGCCTGCCCTAGCGTAGATTACGTATGCTATCCTATGTAGCTTAGTTTCGCATTATTTTCTCCTTATAAAATTTAACTTTGTATAATATACCAGAAGTTATGGAATTTACAGCATTTTGTGTACCACTGTAGTTGTGTAATAGTAATAACATTAGATTTGTTTAAATGACGCTGTTTGTATGCTGTAATATATTAGCTGCTTTTTAATAACATACCTTGAAACAAATAAATCAAATTCAAGCATTCTTTTTAAGTAACTTAATATGTAATTACATTAAATTTTGTATATTTGAGCCTTCAGGCAAATCTTGATGCTGACTCAATAAGAAATAAAATTCCATTGTTAAACTGTTAATAGTGATCTGTGGTTCATTCTGATTCTCATTTAAGTTCCTAATACCCTTTCTGGAAGGCAACATTTTACTTCAAAACATGTTGCATTTTTATTAAGATAATATTGGAATTAAATTCCAAAATTAAATAATTTAAAACTAATTTAAATGCAGACATTAATATTCAAGGAGTGAATAAACAAACATTTTACAGTATTTAAATGAAATTAGATTTTTTCACAATAATTTTCATTTAAAATATAGTCTGTAATTACTTGAATGTTAAAAATGTAGTGCAGGTAAGGAAATTTGGTTAACTTAAGTGCATTCTTCTATCAGTAGTCAGTAGTGCTAGTTCTGTTACACTGTGAAATGAGAAGCAATAATAAAATAGTGATAGCTCAGAGTGTCTTTCTGATAAGGAAAGTACAATTAATAACAAAATTTTTTACTTTATACACACACTTTTTCTGTGATAGACAACAGAGGCATGGCTAGCTAATTGAAATATTTGGGCTCAGTTTCATACCCTGAGATTCTCATAATTAAAATGTGCAATCACAATTGTCATGTCCTAATTAAAGATGTATCGTAGTATGTACAGATTAAAATAGATATTTTATCAAACTACATGAGGAAAATGATCCAAGTTATATAGCAGGTGAATTTAACTCTTAGCTATGCCATTTAAAGTTACTGTTTCCTAATGCTATGGCAAGGGACATTTCATTATGTGTTCTTATTTGTAAGAACACAAAAGAGATTCAGAACATTATCAGATACGTTCAAGACACTGGCTGCGTGTGGCAGTACCTAGTGATACCCCTGAGAACATGATTCTGATTGCAGCTGCATACCATTACAGTCAGACTTCATAACATTCTTTATACAGTAGTGCATTCTAGCATGAAATGAGATGTAATATCAGTTTAGAAGCATGTAGATAAATTATAGTTTCAGTTTGTATTTATAGGTACATACTTAGTAGTTATAGTCATATTTTATTCATATAAACATTGTATGAAATGCATTTTACTTAAATTCTTTTATTATTAACATTTTCTTCAGCTTTAAAAGACTTGATTTAATTGAATCTAGTTACATAATCTGGCACACTGTTATAACTACCAACTTTTGACTAATGTTTTGGAATGAATACTCTTAAATTCCATCTGAACAAATATTTTGAAAAAAGGAAAACTTTTGCTAGAACTCATAGTGCCAGTCAGAAGAATTAATCTAAGATGATGTGGTACCAGATAGAAAATTTAAATTACCTACCACACAAAGAATCTTTCGTGATTGTTAAGGGAAATAAGAAAGTTATGCGTAAGAAAGTAGATGTTGGTATTTCTTTGTCGCTTCAAAGATAAGTAAGAAGTAATTGCTTGTTTTTAGTTTTTATTTCAATGTCTTCAAAGACAAGATATATTTATTTGTGAATAAAGGTACTTCCACAATAGTTTCATAATGGTTCAGTATTTGCTTCGCTTATAGAAAAGCTTGCAGTGATTTTGGCTTCTTCATAAAGAAACTGTTGCTTAGATGATAGTTGTTCTGCTCAGGACTTGCATCATAATACAGAAACTGCGACTAATTTCTTGTATTCCGTTTCAGGAAAACCAAATATGCAATGAATGGTGTCTGTGGATCACATAAATTATTTCAGGTTGCTGTTATTTTTGGCAGCATGTTTTTATAAGCTATAATGTAATTGTAAAATTAATTATATGAACAGAATTATAAATTACTTTTAATATAATGCTGTATATTCAAATTATTCTTTCTGTTCATTAAGAGGGTTTTCCATTCTCAAATTTTTATCATTTAGAAAAGCTTCAAAGCCTGCCTAAATAACATCAGAAAAACACTTTAACTGGAAATTATGAATCAGATCATCCATACACAGTTCTGATTATACCATCAGATTACTCAGGCATAATAAATAAATATTGACATATTAATTTTAATGTAGTGTTGACATGTTAATTAACATGGTTTCCTTCCCAGTCATAACACTGAATTTATTCGAATGTAGCTGTAACATTGCTGTATATATGAATCTTATAACACAGCATGGTTATGTATATATCTGATGCCTCCAGATGTGGTCTGTGATGACCTTCCTGTCCTCCGCGCACCTAAACAAGGGCATAGAATCCGTATGTGCTGTGGAAGCACTTGTATGACAAATTATGTTACTCCCAGTAAAAGGGTGATCATGAGAATTATTGCCAGTAGTTGACCTACATGTCACATGACTCTGAACCAAAATGGTCTTGTAGTATATTTTACTTTACTGATGTTTTATCTTTGGCAGAGATGAAAGATTCAGTCCGTGAGCAGCGGAATCTGCACGTAGATGTGGACCAGACACTGAAACCAGAACCCCCTGAATGAGAACATGGTGTCTTTCCCCAAAACTGCTGGGTCTTCCACAGTGTGAATACATGTTTATAGTAGTTTGCTGTTCTGGCAACCGAGTCGTAGTTTTTTACGCCCTGTAATCTGTCCCTGGGAAGTGTGATTCATGAAGCTGTTAGTCACACTGCCTTAGCCTGTTTTCATGTGGCATGTTTCAGACAAGTCCCAACAATCTTCCTCTTCTTCTGCTAGCGATGAACGTAAATTGTCAAGTCAAAAGTTTGACGCTTCTTTACCACAGCAGAAAACATCCATTCGATTTGTCTCTTCTGTAGAATGTAAACATTCTTCAGGTAAAATGAATTGTATTTATCCTAAAAATATTGCATGTAAATATTTCTATTGTATGTTGTAGAAATCTTGAACTCCACAGACACTTGTTGATTGTTACAGTTTTTTAGCATTACTTATAATGTAGTAATAATTATTTTTATAATGATGCTAGTGCTTCACATGTGTACATGTCCAGGGGAAACATCAAGCACTCCTCTGAGTCCCAGTAGCCCGGCTGACGAAAGTTCGGGTGAGTTGAGCGGGCATCCCAACAAGCCACGTCTCCAGCGCTCCAAAGCTCAGAGCAGGAACACTTTCAGACTTCGGAGGAGTAGGAAAAGCCGTATTGAGGTAGGAACCTGAAGTTATCGGGGAGAACAGCAACAAATTAAATTGTATTCACGCTGAAGTTAAGATTGAAAGCATTCAGGAAATGTGGGAATCCATTCAGTTCACATCAGTTATATTTTAATCTCCTTTCTCAAAATATCTTAAACTTTGTTTTCTTGTTTCGTGTGGATTTAAAGTTTGAGGTTAGATCAGAGATAGAGGGGAGATTTGGATAGTTTTTGGAAAAGAGTGTAGAAATAAATTGAGAATGGATACAAAAAGGGAATGGAGACCCTTGCAAATTTTAATCTTCACCTAATAATGATCGATGATCTTACAGGTGAGATATGCTAGAAACAATAAACGTTGATAGGAAAACTATGAAAGAAGTGACTATGTAGGAGATACATGTGTAAGGAAGATGATGTTGAAACAATACGTTGTGAAGGTGTGAATTAAGCTGTGATTACAGTAAAGAATTTTTAGGTTTATAAAACCAGGAAAGATGGTTTACTTCCGACTGAACAACTGTGTACTGTGTGTCATGGAATTAGTTACACAAAATGTACAGCGTAAACTGAATGTTATCCATGAATCATGACTTTTGTTGCAGTTAAAAATACTCTTTAACTTCACTCAGTGGAACATTTATAATCTGATGACATCTCTCGTCATAAGTTGTACTTTGGCTCACGTCTGATATTGCACCTCAAAAATTAAGAAAATGCAATGTTCTTTTCATTTGAAGGTATCCCACATTAAGGTTGAACCATCTGAGCTATCAGTTGAAGATAAACAAGAACAAGAAAATTTTCCAAAGCAACAACAACAACAACAACAACAACAAAAACACAAACTGCTTTCACAACAACAGCAGAAGCAGGCATCAACAGCTGACATTCCATCAAGACAGCCAGCTGTTGTGCCAGTCAGTTCAGCAGCTGCAACTTGCCAGCAGCTGCCCAGTGCATCTGTGTTATGTGCACGGCGGCTATCTGTTCGCCAGTCTCGCTCTTCTGACAATGCTCATTCCTCTGTTGCTGATGTATCATGGGATGAGGTTGGTATTCGTTGTGCGTGTGTTTATAGTTCGAAGCGTATTGTGGTACTTTTTGCTGAGATTGTCTTATTTTCCTAATGGGCATTTTAATAAATTCATGTCCCACCTATGACATAGGTGACATGCTGTACTAGTGGTTACAAACAAAACTCCAAGATTGTAGTGTAGCATCTTGGTGTGTTATGTTGATTCTTGCTTCTTGTTTTTTATGTAATTAATTTCATACACTCAATTACCATTCCATTCATAAAACGACCTGTTTTGGTACATTGTGGCTATCATCAGGTTCAATTACGTGCTTTCATGTCACTGCACTGTCGGCAGGTGTCACAGACTTCAAGTACTTCAGGGTACAGGGAGTCATACAGTCTACTCATGATGGCACTGGAAGGTCCTCCTACACCCACCGGTGTTGTTGCCGCGACATCCGTCAATAATAGGGCTTCCCAGCCACCACTGGCTTCTCCTGATGTTCATGATCTGCCATCCACCAGCAGTGCCGCTACCAACCAAATGGCTGCAGAGGGTAGTTCACCGGAATCTTCCATCAATAGCGGAGAAGACTTGGCACTGCTTGAACATTCTGTTCCTCATTCTTCATCACTGCATTCTCTGTTCATGGCATTTGAACCTCAGGATGAAGACACACTTATTTAAGTACTGAATCAAACAGCTTGATTGTTATCATCTGATCAAGAAATTCCCTGTTTTTATTGAACACCATGTTTACAGAAGCCCAACATTGAAACCTATCCTGAACCAGTTGTGTCCACTCAATCCCCTCACATTCTCCTCCAGAAAAGTTTAATTCGTTGTTATTCTCATGCTTTATTTCCCGACTCATCTATTCCTTTGAGCTCTCCTGATCAAATTTGTGTCATGTCAGCGACAAGATCTCAGGAAACAAAGTGGTTTTAAAGAATAGTTCTCTAGTACTGGATTTGAATTTTATTTTAAAATAAATTTTTAAAGATATTTTAAAAGAACAATATGAAATAAAAATTACATAATCTAATCTTCTAACAGGATTCAAGTTTGAGTCGACTTCAGTAAGGCCACTGCCTCAGTTTTGCTGTTTGTTCTTGTATCACTGGCTAAATGTTGACCACGTACATTCAATTATGATACTGGACAACTGATTTTAGGTCATTCTAGCTGCTTTGTGTGGTCATTTTTTCCCCATTTTACACTTTTCTGCCCTTCACACTTGAAATAAAACTTCAGTGGTTGTAAGATGTGTTTCACCACAGGTACACTCCATGCTCTGCCCAGAAGTTGTTGTCGTTTACTGAAGTGAAGATTCCCAGTGTCTGTGTAATGGAGTGGTAAACCAAAGACAACTTCCAGTTCTGTCATCCATAGTGTGTCCATGTTCCCATTCATATTCGCACGAAATATCCTATTCTTACCTGAAATACCAAATAAATACCAACAGTAGTTAATTTTCGGCATAGGAATGTAAATTACAGACTGGAGTTCGGGGCAGCAAAAAGTATTACCTTTCTGTAGGATTTGAGGTTTTCATGGCAGTGAGTCTGAAGATGGCTGTCTTCTGGGCTGTTGTGCCATGTAGTTCGGTAGAAGTTTACCAGATTACATGGCGCAACAACCCAGAAGACAGCAATCTTCATTACCTTTCTCTTCAAAAATTCGTGATAAGGAACTTTTTAACAAGTCCAAAAACATTTATTTATTTATTTATTTATTTATTTGCCTTAGACAGAGAGATGACCTCCGATTATAAGAGGCTCCCACAGTGTAATACAATACATGACTGCTCTAGGATTACAGAAAAACAAAAGAATCACATACTTCTAACTGTATGGATTGTGAAGCGTAATGTCACTCACCCTGAAGAAGAGAGTTTGACCTGGCATCAGACATTCATCTAGTTTCACATTGATCTCAGGAAGCACTGTCCTCCCCAAGCCCGGAATGTTGCCTCAGAAAAAACGTGCCTGGCGCTGTGCAGACAACCATGATGCATCAATAACGACTAGATCACAACCTAGGAACCTCCAAACACAATATATTACACATGCAATTTGTCATGAACGTTTCTGTTGTAACTTCGTTACCTAGATATAATATTCCTGAAGCTGCATGGCATTGAAGTAGTGTTTTCCTAGATGTAAGGTCAATTGTATATCTTAGGAATCTTGAAGCAGAAATTTATAGATCTTAGACCTTAGAAATTAAAATATGGGTTGTCATTAACAGAATTACAGACTGTTTTATGTTTCTGGGAAATTAATTTGAATGTTGTGAGACATCTCAGTTTCTGTAGTCAGACAAATCATCATTCAGTACGAGTGCCAGAGTGTGCATTGGTGATGTGACAGTCAGTTTCTACAGAACAGAAAAAAAAATCCTTTAAAGCCAAGTGGTAAATATATGTCCCACATGCTTGAAGAATGCATTTTTATTTATGTGTTTCATATGATACTCAGTGTACACAGACTAATTTCCTTAAACAGCGTTTGAAAATAAACTACAAAGATGGTTAGATGTTACTTGGCCCTTAATATGTTTCTATAATGACATCAGGCTTTATAATATGTTGTTCATGACAACTCAGTAAGTTTGGCAAATGAAGGTGTGGTGTGGGTGAATAAAGGTTGCAGAACACTGAAGTATTATTGAATTAGAAAGTATAGAACTCCAACTCATAAATTATATGCTGGTAACTACTGTTTCCACTGAGCCTCATGCTGTGTATAACCATTCCTGAAATTCCAACAAACAAAAATGTGTGGAAAATAGCAACCTGTTAAATTCATCGAAAAGATCATGAATTAGTAGAATCTTAGCTTCCCATCTTATACAAGTGTAATATAAAGTCTTTTTAGGTTCCGAATTGTCAGTCTTACCTGTACTAATTTCATCAAAGAGAGACAACACCCCCAAGCCAGATTTTGCTTTTTTAGACAGAGGAATGGATGACATAATGTTATTTGCTGAGAAAAGAGCAGAAATCTGTAATAAGAGTAACACATTTACACTTATAGCATGGTAGATTTTTTTAAAACAAACCATAAGTGCTAGTTTAAAGGTCCTCATATAGCATTTCTCTGAGACAGATGGCAATAAAAGGGCAGCAGGCATATACAATGCGTGACGGGAGGTCACTATAAGTGTTGAAATACGACGAAAATTTGCTAAGATTGTCTAACCGTGACCAAGCATGCTCAATTTTCCATGGTCCTCTGCATTTGCGCCCTGATGTATACAGCACGTAACTCTAAAACGACGATAAGCATCTACTAATCTGCACTGCGCAACAACCAAGAAGGTAGTTATCTTTTGCATTACCATGCTCATAATAGACAGTCACTTGTCCATATAGTTCAGGTCATATATTTGCATTCCATTGTTGAGTACAGTTTCATTGTGACGTTCCATCTGTAATTTGTCCCGTCCCTACATTTCTCCGCTCTTAACTTTTAAACAATAACTATGTATATAGTCTTGAAGTGAATACTTAATTCATGCACTGCCCTATGCTTTATTAAATTGATTTTAGCAAGACGACAAGTATCTTCATCATTCATTGAGACCTCATAGGACTTCGAATACCCGCGCTGGAGGTCATTAGTCTACGAGTTCTACCAGTGCCTTCTATGTTAATAGTATTAATACTATCAGCTGTGGAGGGTATCGCAGGGATCAAGTTTTTGGTACGATTAAACGGGCACTGAACGCGCTGATATTTAGAACAAATTTCAAAATGGAGGCTATCGTTGGTTATCTCTGTTAGTAGATGTGGTATTGTTATATAGAAGATGCAGGGATAGTGAAGCGTGTGAGGTATGGGTAAACAAAGAAACAAAATAATATAGCGTTGCTTTGACCTATAGAGTTGTGTAGTTTAGAGTTATTCTACAATCTGAGGAATTATGTGGGTAGAGATAGCAGAATTTCGTGAAAAGAAAATGGAAAATATGGATGTACTAGGCGAAGTTCACAGTACTTTAATTCCTAATATCGTATCATGTCGTGTCTACACATGTGAATGTCTGCATGGATAAGTCTGGCATGTTCTATTTAGATGAGCTTGCTGCCAAATTTTTAACTACATTCGCTGTAGTTTCTATGAACTTGGTCATGAAGAAACAGGTTATGTGAGGTGTGGTTTAACATGTTCGGAAATTTCTTCGGTATGTTAGCTGCGAATATAGTAATACATTTTGTATTTTGTTGAGTACTCAGGTATTGTAATCCTTTTAGTTTTTTAGGATGAGTTTTAAGTGTATTCATTTTGTTTATAATGCAGTTTCTAGGAACATCCTTAGTTTCACATGTGAACATATTACAGAAGTAAAATTTGTACAGCAAATAGAAATACAGCATCAGATTTTAATGTTAACAAGACTTCTGAAAATGAATATGTAATCATTTTACTTACAGTTATTTAATAATCACAATATGTTTTAAAATTTGTGAAGAATTGGCTTAAATTGTACATTCAGACATTTTATTGGATAAATTAACTTTAACAAGCGCTTTTTATATCTAAGTTTAATGTGTGAGGTATTTTAAGAAGATACAATCTTGCTTTAAGAAAACATATAATGATGTATTCTGTAAGTTTTATAAATCTAAGAAATTGGTTATTGTTATCTTGAACTAGTTAAAATATCTTGTTTTGGAGTTGCTATTTGATACCATTATAGTGAGTAATATATTTTTACTTATTATTAATTGGAATAAAATACAGTAGTAAGTGAATGGGAAGATGGCTGTCTTGTGGGTTGTTGCGCCATGTAGTCTGGTAGAAGTTTACCAACGTTTTGAGAGGTCCTGTTTACTGTTGCTCTCTTGTTTTAGGTTAATGCGTTCTTGTAACAGTCAAAGCTCATGATTGTAGCATGATTAAAGAAAGTAAAGATAAACAACGGGAAAAGAATGGCAGTTCTACATCTGTCAAAACTGAGCTTCCTAGCTCACAGGGACAAAGTTCAGAAACTACGGTGAAAGAGGAGCCAGGGACAGAATCTCATGTCAATGGTGGGGATGAAGGGGACAGTAGTTGCAAGAAGAATGGAGTGCGGGTGAGTAGCGGAAATGGTGCGGCGGGGAGCAGCTCAAGTTGTGGTCATGCTGATATAAAGCCCAGCCTCATTGGTTCAACGAATACTGGGACAGTCGCTATGGGTCCTGTTCGATCTTCCTCGGCAACTCATATGACAAGTGACCTCTGCATGGTGGATGGTACACAAGAAGGTAAGTGCTTTAAGTAAATTTAACCAACTTGTCAGGTGTATAAAATAATTAAAATTTCTCTTTGGATATTTATATTGGACCAAAATATTTTTCTGTCCATCTGTGGTGGCCATCGTGTGATGGTGCAGTAACAGAAGCAGATGTGTGATTTTGAGACTGGCTTTGACTTTACGCATGACCTTGGTCAGTTCTATACAGAACGCGTTATGAACATCAACTGTTCAGAATGAATAGCTCTCTTAATGTATAAATAAAAAAGTGGTTTGTAAGTGCATGGGTTCTTTAATTTGTAGCAGCGAATCTGTAATGCCAAGTAACTGAATATGTGTCGTACTAGTATTTGGTATTTGTCTACAAGCCTGCAAGTCAGAAGAATAAGTAGGATGGTGTATCGTATTTACTTCTGTCTGTTTGTTTATATGTGCTTCCTGTTTAAAGATTTTATGTTAACTGTGACCAGACAAGGCTGTCTAATATGATGAACCAGCCTTAAAAGTTATGTTTAAAATCTTACTTTGGAATAATGATTGCTTAAATCTGCACCCTTCCGGAACATGTTGAGTTGAAATACAATACACGCTGTGTAATTTAAGCAAGAGTTCTTGAAGTTAGAAATAAATTTTAAAAAATTTGTTGTAAATCACTGGTCTGTTGGGCTGATGCAGTCAGGATAAAATATTGAAATGGCAAGTTGGAAAGTAATACAGTTTATTTTTAACATTTTAAGGAACAAAATCTGAGGAGAGCAGTTCCCAAGACAAACCTGCGTCATGCAACACAGTTAAGACTGAAATCAATGGCAGCACGAATCATGAATTCAATAATGGTGAGCATTTATTTTTCTTGCCTTACTCGATGTGGAAGGGGTGTACGTTATGATGCCTTTCAGTGCTGGTATCATTTAAGGTTGAGTGAAAGGTTCTGCTTTCTTTCTACACTGAAGCGTTCACTGATCATGTCAGTACAAGTACGCCTAATACATTTTATAAATGCCTTTACACGTAATGTTCTTCTCTGCAACCCATGCCTGTCCACGATTCAAACTGAGTTTTGTGAATGTATGTTTCCCCACTCCTGTTGGAATTTGAGTGTAAAAATTTCATTTTGACATTTTTGTGTGTGATGTCGTGTGGAAGATTCCTAGCATTTCAGAGGAAGATACTGTCTTCTTCATCATGGTAGACGTGTATTGAGATGGTGGTGTGGGTAAGTTATATAAGGGGGGATGATAAAGAAAGGATTTAGTATACAGATTAGGGGTGGCCAAGGCAAACTTTGGAAAACAAAACATGAAAGTGGGTGGCCAATGGTGAAAAAACAAAGAAGCGTGATTTGAGTGACTCTGAAAAGGACATGTTTGTGTAAGGTTGGTATAAGGGCCATTGGCACAATGATGCCGGTGGAAGCAAGGGCGATAAAGGGTGAAGGGTGGAATGGGAATTGTGAGAAAGGTAAAGGGAGAGGGCGGCCAGTGGGAGTTACATTTTTAATTTCAGTGACTACAGTTTTTGCTTCTAGCAGGCTGTTAAGTCCTTCCTGATTCTCCGAACTTTACTCTGCATTCACACATTCGTTGATGCAAATAATCAGACAGTGCTCCTAACCAGTTTTCCCCACCTCTTGTGATTTCCAGTTCACGGTCTGTGGTCAGCCACAAATAGCTGCCGTGTTCAAAATTCGACATAGGATTTACGTTGCTCCATGTGAAATTCAGTGTTTGTGTGTTGTTGCAGCTGATCCGTGTGGTGAAGGAAATGTATCGATGGGCATGTCGTTGTCCAGTACGGGTCCTCCTCCAAATGGAGTTCAACCTCTTCCCAGTAATGTTATCAATAAGCAGCCTGGTACCATGGAAGCACAATACATGCAGCAACAGAGTCAGATTTTTGTATTTTCAACAACACTCGCGAACAAATCTGCTGAGGCTGTGCTCCAGGGTCAGTTCCCATCTATCATCGCGTACCACTGTGCTCAGCCAGGAACGAAAAAGTATTTGGAGGTTTGTATATTTTATTGTATGTAGGTGCGTAATAGTTATCTTATGCTGTTGTACTGCACGTTCAGATGCAGAATGAGGTTATGATAATGTAATCATCATCATCATTTGATCATGTCACTGATCTTTTGACCCTTTAAAGACCAATGTTAACTATATGTCCCACCTGCTTCAACAGTCAGCGACTCTTCATTTTGTTAAATTCTAAAGGGTTTTGACGACGGTAGATTGCACTTAAAATTATTAAACTTCGCCTGTCAGATCTTTGTTTTTAGATTCTGAGGTGTTGAGTTTAAAATTTTAGTGAACATTTGTTGTTATGACCCCTATCAACTTCATGGTAGTACCCATATATGATGGTATAATCTTCTTTTGTTTTCCTCAAACTGTGTTTCTGCAAAGTAATCTCAAAGGTTTGACAAGAGAATATTGCCTAATGGCAGACTAACTCATTTTATGACATCTTTGCTATCAGAAAAATATAAGTAACTTTATATATTACTTCATTACTCTTGAAAATCTTACTGTACCAATTTAGGAAAACAAAATTATCAATCACTGCGTACATATTGAATGTATTCCAGTTGGCATGCGTTTTTAGGTTATTTGTGGCAGTGCTACTGTGGTGACAACATTTAAATTACTGCTGAATATCACTTCTTCCAGTGGGTTTTTCCATTACCCTTCCACTTCTGATAAAGTTGGGACTGGGAGCAAAGTGACATAAAGTCTGTGTAATGTTTTGCTCACTTAGAACTAGAAGTATTAAAGAAAAATATAATAACAATGAAATGGATCTGCAGGGATAAAATACATATCACAAATAAATGTAAAATATGATGAGAACTGTTGTCATTTCAGTGTGCGTTATGTTAGGACACAGTTCCGTGGTTCCTGCAAATTTAGTGGCATTCATGTGTAAAGGTTGTTAATTGCGCAGATAGACTTATCTCATTTTTAAATGTAAATGTGATGAACTGAGGCGTTCTCAAGCAGATCCGACATCAGTCATATGAAAAGTGAAAATTAAAATATGTACGAAGCGTCATACAAAGTGAGGTGTGATGTTAGTGCTTAGTGCCAGAACATGACATAAGGATGCAGGTTTCCAACATTTTACCTGACACCTCCCTTGTAGCCAGCAAGCAGGTCACTTGTTCCATCAGGTGAGTTCAACATAAACTTCCGCGTGGTTTTATCTTAATTTTGGGCACATACGGTTTGAAATTAGAAGTGGGTATTTAAAGCCGTATATTGTTGTTATGATACTCCTGAAAAAATGCTTTATTATCTAAAGTGTTCCTCAGCAGTAACGGGTCAGTGAATCAGTTAATTAGTTACTGCTCATCTACAATAACATGTGATTTCTAATTAGGTTTCTATTGTTTTTGTATGTTTATAAATAGATTAGAATGTACACTCAGTGTTTTCATCGAACACCAGACCTCACATATATATTTGGTCTTGTGGGATTTCTTTAATTGTCAATACTGCAACCCACCATCTTTGCATTAACTCCCCATTCCTTTCTTCCCCATGACTGAATGAGTACGAGTTAAACGGCTGAATTTCACTGTTATCCGTGATGCGGTATTATTCTCAAATCCAGTATCACGGGGCTGCCAACCGGACTTTAACTCCATTGTTAGTGGTTTAGCAAAATGCTAAACCATGCCATGTTGAAAGGACAGCAAAGGTTAAGAATGTTTATTTTAGTTATAAAAATTACAATTTGTTTTATAGCTTTCTTCAAACTGTTCGGTTCCACACGTTGCTCTGTAAGAAGTATTCCACGTTGTTTGACATAGGTGTTTGCTTATTAATGATTTCATAGGAACTTGACTTTGTATCAGAATGTATTTGCAAGCATATGTTGATCACTTTGTTTATTAGTTGAAATGTTGTATGTTAACTGACTACCTTTCTGGATTTGGTATCAACGATGCTGGCGTTTCATTAATTGGCTGAGTCTGATGCTGTGTTTGGCCATGGCTGATTTATTTTAACGCTCTGGACAGATGTGTCATTGGTGTTCCTTGACCCTGACTCTGGATAAATCAAAATTCCCAACATCCCAGAGGACAGTCGTCTTTGTGATTTACTCGTGCCATTAAAACTTTATTGTAAACTGCATACAGAAAAATTCCCTGCATGACAGTACATCACAGTGATAGTTGTTAGCTGATACTTTAAAAGGAGTCAAGTTGAATTTTTTTAGTTTAGGGCTTATTGGCTGTTGAGTTAGTGGACATTCATCAACTACATAAATTTTTATGTTCAATAACATCTGTTGTTCATGTGTTTGACAAACTCGTGGATCTTCAGTGGTATCTGTTTTGTTTTTTTAAACTTGCAGGTGTTAGATCACTAGCATAAATTAATACAGTATTATTGCAGTGGTATTATGCACTCACATTCCTAACTTCAGTTTATGAAAAAAGCTTATAGAAACTGGCAAATATGCTTTGTATTGTGTGCGTAGAGGATTTGTTCCTTGGTGAAGATGGCAGCTCTGGTGCGTTGGACAAGATATCGCATACAACATTTCTGTAACTGAGCTCGTGAAGAAATGCAGTAAATTAATATATTATTTTCCTGTCATATGTTCATCTTTTTTGTGTCTTTTGTTGGCTAAGAGAGATGTTGGCTGCAGGTTTAATAAGGCTTTGAATGAAGGATGGTATAATAGTGTATGAGGGATAACTTAATGAAATCCTTAACATCGTCAGTAGAAACGTGTGTAGATTCAAATCGAAGAGTAATTTGTGTGGATCTAAAGTACCTTAAAATAGATGTAGCAGGTATTGTGTGGAACCATAGAATTGTGTTTAAGTGGGCTTAGCTGTAACAAGTTTCTTACTTTTCCAGTTCTAGTGGTCGATTTCCAACATCATTGTGATTTTCTGTTAAGATGTACTGTGTTCGGATAGTCATTTTGTCCATCACACTGGTTCTGCAGACAGTTCACGTAGCATATTTATGTGTGCAGATGACTGCAAACAACTTCAGTCTCTAACAAACCAAAACATAATAGGTGTTCGAGGCACTCTGAAGTGGAACTGAGACCAGCGTTAGTAATAGGTTAGGAAAGTATACAGTATTTTATTTGCATTTTGAGTTTTTATAGGTTGCAAACAATATCTTTTGAGTGGCCACATTTTGGTAATATCAAAGCAGGGTTCTGTTCCAATAAAACAAAAGATGTACGATAATGGTTTTAAGTCTCTCCATGTACATGCTAGGATGATAACTTAAATAGGCCGTTATTGCAATTGCTTTTGCCTTGTACAGTATGACATGAAATCACTATATTACATTATTTCATGTCTCTCACAACAGAGAAATCATATCCAGAAATTTTAAGTTTTGTTTTAATCCTGTTGCTTTTCTAATTCCCAGATGTGTGCATATGTATGTATGTATGAGTGGATTCATTTGGAGAAGTTCCACATTTAAGCATGGCTATTTCCCACTTAAAAATCAAAGGTTTTTGTAACTGATGGTGTTGAATTTTTACATTTTAATACACCCTCCAACTTGCAGCGTGACTTGAATAATCTGTAAAGGGATTCTTTCGAATTTTTCATAATCTTGCATGGCAATGCCAAAAGCTGGTTTCTAAAATAACGTTAATTATTTTCTTTGTTATTATATACATTTGTAGTCGCCAAAAGCAAGCTGTTATGTAATTAAAATTTAAGTTGTGTCCACTCCTCGATTATGTTTGTATCTGTGACATATGTAATATTTATTGTAGGTTTTCTGTGGAGAAGCCATTTTTTTGGATTACTATGTTGTGGTAATGACCACTGGCGTCTGTGACTGAGCTGTGAGTGTGTATGCAATTATACTTTATCTCACAGAAACACCCTCTGAAGATGACTCAGTTCAGTCGACAGAACCCTGCTCAATGGTTAAACAGTCTGGCTCAGATGAAGCAAAAGGCAGGCCCTGGTGTATTGAAGGGCCTCAACCCTGGCGCTGTCCAGGGTGACATGGGAGCAAATCCCAATTCAGGGGGTGGAATGGGAATGTGGAATCAGGTAAGCAGACGTGCATGGCAGTAGTTATTTGCCATTACTAGTTTATGCACGTTTCCCCATGTTAAATTATCTTGTTGGGATTTGTGTAGACTTTTTACAGTAGATCATACAATGGCATAATTGATCACATACGGCCTCCACGTGCATACTTCTCAAAATTTCTGTGTTACGCATTACTAATATTGGTCAGTTGGCTGGTATGTAATGCCTCCAGATATGGCCTGTGTTGACATTCCCTCGGTAGTATAAAAGTCTCTTTTAAAGTGTGTCTGCACGTAAATTTCAGAATTATCTGGATATTGCAAACAGAAAACTCGTAACTTCCATAACCATTTTGTATAATGCATTGACAGCTCTGATTTCAACTTGTTCACTTTGCTTCAGTAGACTGTCTTGATTTTACAGAAATGCAGGTAGCAAACTCAACCAAATTTGTAGTACCATTACCATTTCTCATAGTACCAGCAAGTAGGCTGATAAGTAAAGTTCTGAGTATTTCTGCATATAATAAACCTTCATTACATTCAGTCGCCATGATGGCTTCATAGCTGTAAAAACATGAACACAACTACCACATTTATTATGAATTATACACACTCTTGGCCTATTTAAGTTGTCATGTTAGAATGTATATGATGAATCTTACATGACACAATTTTGTATTTGTAATCATTGAATTTGTACCATTTTCTTACAATTTTATGTTGTTGTTTTTTTCTTGAATGTAACATGCTGTATTTTTATAACTGCAGTCATAGTAGTTATATGGGAGGTTTTATAATGCTCCCAGAGGAAATCTGTTATGACTTTTTCTGGCGTATGCTCCTAACCATAGACAAATTTGGACACCATTTCTGAAGTGGGAGCACCCATAAGGCAGATTCTGTTACTTCCAATGGAGGGGTTGTGTTGAGGGCGTTGGCCAACAGAGGAGAGCTACATTTTATAATAGGCTTCAGTCCGCAGTGGGAACTTGGTATACTTCACTTTACCGGTGTTTTATTATTTTTAGCAGAGATAAGGGGTTTTATCTGTGGCCAGAAATGTTCACACACCGATCTGACTTAATCAAGGATCCTCTGAATGAGAGTCCAATATCCTACCACAAACGTTTCAGACTGTATGAACTTAAGAAAGTACTTTTAAACCAAACTAGCATTTCTTGAAGGGACTGAAGAAAAGAATGTGGAATTTCAGGCTAGCCAGTATACTGGTTATGATTCAAACTGTGATACCTCCCATGTACAAAGATACACTCCTTACCTACAGAGCTAATTTGTTCCAGTACTGTCCTTCTTTCTCGTTAGAAAGTACAGAATAATCTGTTATGAAGTGAGCGATATGTGGTGACAGTGAAAGTAAACATATGAGCTGTATTGTAAAACATCATTATATATTATATAGGTGCTGGTGTTGACTATAACACCATTTTCAAGTGATGTAGTATGTACAGTGTTTAATCTATGATGATTGTTCAGTAGGACTGAAAGATGTCTGTCTTCATAAACTGTGATGGCATTGAATGAGAGCTGTTGACGTTAGTAAAGATAGTTACAAGTGTGTGGTGTGACATGGCATGAAATTACTTGGGATTTCGGTGTTTTGTTGTTTTACAGCTGCATGTCTAAGTGGTACATTATCATTGCTCTTAATTTTTTAGGAAGAAGAGAAGTGTAAAGTAAGGGAGTTTGGAGCTAGATTGAAGAACGCTTGGTTGAAGTGAATGGTTTTGCTGTTGAATTATTTATCAGAAAATTAGAAATTCCATAGCACTCTGTAGCATCACAATGCAACTAATGCATTTAACGTAATGTAGTCTGTGTGTCTATTCAGAAGATGGCTGTCTTCTGGGTTATAGCTACTGTTTGTATTCATCTTTTAACTTATTTTCTTCTGTTTCATATTGAAGAACAACAATATGATGAACAACATAAATGCAGTGGGCAATCCAGCCAGTTCCATGATGCAGTCGTGTTCCAACAGTGTTCTGAGCAGTTGTCCCGTCTCCAGTTCGATGACCCCAGGCACTGGTCCTCTGAAGACCCCTGGTATCGATAGCCCGTGCATGATGCCAGGTTCTCCTAGTGCCAATGCCATGATGTCTAGTGGGATGGGACACCACAGTCCTAGCGTTCCCACAAGCAATCCTGCCATGATGGCGGGAGGTGCACCTGATATGGCGGGCAGTCCGATCAGTGGCGTTCCTCAGCCTACTCTCACAGGTGACGGCAGCAGCGGAATGTATCGCATTTCATATGGAATGGATTGGGTTGTTAATTTAAAACTATTTTGATGTGGAGTAATTTTGTTATACTTCTTGATATCAGAGTTGATATGTAGCCTGTATTCCAGCACATTGCTTTGCTTACTCAAATTATTTAGTATTGTGGATTAAACGAACACAAGATAACAAGCTTTTCAGTTGTGCAAAAATGTTTTGCGCTGTGTGCGGCAGTGCGGTGATTGACACTCCCATTTTTAGTATTTTCTTCTTCCTAAGAACTTTCAACTTTTCATGAGTAGTATGGTGTTCACGACTGTGATCTTGAGACTTGTGAGGTGATGAAGTGGGGTGAAGGAGGAAAGATAGCGTCCGCTATGCAGTAGCCTTTAACGCTTTGGACTTCTCGCATCCCTTGCAAGTCTTTGTATTTTTCCACAGTTTTCCTCAGTTTGTTATAGTTTTTCTATCTTCCTTCTGTTTTACATATTGGTATCGGTCTTCTCCTGGGTGCTTTATAATTCATATTTGGGTTTTCAGTAAGAGTTAATTTTCTTTCTATTTGTCAGGAGTCAAAGTTCCTGATGAAAACTTAACGCCTCAGCAGAGACAACATCGTGAAGAGCAGCTGGCAACGTTGCGCAAAATGCAACAGATGCTCTTTCCTGAGCACCAGTCCCCCATACCAGAGGGCGGTAATGTCAGCCAACAGTCGGAAGGAATGTTGATGCAGCATGGCATTGGACCAATGATGGCACTGGGGCCTGGGCCTGCTCCTGGATCAGGCCCTGCAGGGATGAATAATAATGGTGGGCCAGGATTAATGACACAGAAAGGTATTATTATGGGAGGTTTGGGTGGCCCTGGTCAGATCACTCCAACATCAGTAGCAGCTCAGATTGAATGGCAGAAACTGCAGCATCAGTTCTATGAGGAAAGGAAGAAGAAAGGGCCATCCGGCCTGGTTATGGGAGGATCAGGTTCTGGAATCGGGAGTCCTGCAAATTCTTCCATGCAGCAGATGGGCGCGAGTGGTCCTGGGTCTTGTGGGCCCCGGCTTCCAGGGACAGGTGCGGGAGGAACGGGACCGGGGTCAGGGGGGTCTGGCCCTAGAGTGCAAGGACCCCCACCACCATATCATCAGACCACCAGATCTGCTAGTGTTCCTAATGCTATGCCCAGTCCAAACCCAGGTTCTCCCAGTAATCCAACTTCCAACCTCTCGCTTCCATCTCCACGAGCTGCTTCTGGCCTAAATTCGCCTGCGGACGCGAGTCGACAGCAATTTCCGATGGGGGGTAATGGGAATGGTAATGGTGGTAGTTCAACACGCCTAGTAGGATCAGGACCTAGTCCCACAGGGACACACAGCACGTCTCTGGAGTCACCCACTGCAAGCCGGCCGTTAAATCTAAGTAACCCCAGCACACCGGTGTCTACGCATCTGTCACCAAGTGCAGCTAGAAAAGAGTTGAGCTCAGATTTCCCATCTCTGACATCGGGTTCAGCCAGTCAGCCAAACACAACGTCAAATCAACAGCCTACAGGTAAATATAATTCAGGCTTTCTGACTTTCTTACTTCAGGACATGATATAAAATATTATCAGCTTCCATGTTCCCTCTCCCCCAGGTGTTTTGGTGGAGTGGGAAGAGAGTGATCTTCCTGAGACATTTCTACTTCATGTAGATTATCTCTGAAAATGTAACCCAAAAAATGTATTTATTATTTCAATTTTTCGAACAGTGGCGACACAAAGAAATTTATTCTCATGTTTTGAAGAATATTTTTGACAGAAAATTGTGTCAACACATACTTAATTTCTTTTCTTGAGTTATCTCAGGTTCTCATTGTTCTGTGATGTACGGTAGACTCAGTAATAAGGTCTTATAGGATAGTGTGTTCCAATGTATTGTCTTTTCTGTTATTGTAGTTTTTTAACCCTTGCTGTTTAAACTTGATCATACAGTAATATGAAATGAAAACTGATGTTTTCAGATAACAGTTTAAATAGTTGTAATCAAGGGAATAACATTTTGCGGGGATTCTTTTCCCATCCCTCAGCCCCTTTGATTTGGAAAATTAATAGATCCTCACAAGAACTCTGCAGATAAGGATCTGTCATAAATATCAGATTAAACTCTTATTTCTCTTTCAGAATCTGTTTGTGAGCCTTTCTGTGAAAGTTGTGCAGTCGAAATGTTTAATTTCCAGTTGATGGCATGTACTGCCGAACACTGCAGTCTATGGCACACCAGAACCAGCAGCAGCCAAATCAGTCGAACAAGGAACCTAACTTGATGCCTGTTCCTTCTCCACAACAAATCCAGTACCTGAATACATTTGATGGCCAAGAACTTACTATTCAGAAGCAACCAAACACAAGCTTGAAAGACACAAGTATTAGGTCACCAACGTAAGTGTTGTTATACTGTAGTAATTATAATACGTCATAGCGAAACATTCTTTTTCAGGGGACCAGAGAATTTTGATATTTTCTATAAAAGCCATTGCTTCTGTAAATACTATCTTTTCTAAATTTATTATTTTATTATTGTATGAAAGTATTGAGCGTGAAACAAATCAAAGAACATGTGGAAGTTGTTTGGATTTGTCACAGACTTCAGTTGTTATAAAGTATGTAAAAAAAACACTGAAATATTACATTCACAAAAGAATTTCTGCATAATTTTAACAGCACTGTCAGTGTGAATGTAAGAGTTGCTAGGATTGCTAGTGAAATTTAAGATGATGATGACTCTTATGCCATCCCTAAAGGCTTCTAAAGGACAATATTACAGGTTAAGGAGCTTGTTTTACATTTTGGCCTGTACCTGTTAAAGTACAGAACTACAGTTCTGGTCTTCTAACTTGTGATGTGTATGTAGTCTTGCTGGTGGTCACCAACATTTTGGAGGAACATATTATATCTGTCCGTAGGGTACAAATGAAACATTAGCCATCTATAAAACTACTTGATGACACAGCCCAGAAGATCTCGGTCAACATTCTTGTCAGTAGAACCTCAAATCTCATGTAAAGAGGTATTGTTTAGTGTAAAATCAGTTTATGTCTTAAGCTGCATTTTTGAATGTGTGTTTTTCATTCTCTACTACGACCATAGAAATATATCCCACGGGTGGGGATGATGGTGCTGAAGCCTTTGCTACAAAAAATGTTTTGTGTTTATATTTGGAGATATTCATAATACAATTTTATTGTTGCAGCCTTCCACCACCTAACCTGGATTCAAACTTGCAAACATCAAATTCAGATTTGCCAGGTGCTCGAATATCTGGGCCAGGAACTCCACTGACTCCCACCTCCATGGAGGTAGGTTCCCGTTACCCACCCACAACTGGGGAGATGGGTAGGTTCCCGATACCAAGCCCTCATACCCCTGGTGCTCCGTGTACAGCAGAAAGCAAAAGTCAGCCACAACGTTTCCCAGGACCCAATTCTCAGAACCAAGTAATGGATCCATTGATCAAGGCTCCAACAACAGAAGTGGGATCAAGATTTCTAAGTTCAAGCCCTCAAATGGTTGACGGAATGGGTCCACCAAGACTGCCGGCTGTTGGACCCGCAAGTACATCACCAGCTGTGACTAATCCCACCCAGAACTTCATGCAACAAACCACGCCAACAATGGGTGGTATGAAAGTTGCATCCCATTTTTTGGAAGTATCTCCATCTGGAAATACCTCATCTGCAATTGATGTTTCTCCTACTGGTTCTGGAAGTTTTCCTTGTATGCGGTCAGAAAATGTACCTCTAAATCCTAATGGCAACAGTGGAATACCATGCAATGGCAAAAGTGCTCATTTTGATCCTATTACATCAATGGCGCAGATGAGCCAGCAGCTAACTAGCAGTGCGGTAAACTCTCCAGGTGGGCAGAATCCAGGT